GTACCCCATTTTGATGGGGTAGCAGTCTGCACTCCCCTCCTCATGTGAAAAGGCAGGGCTCACTCTTACAGCCTGGGTTGTCAGGCAGAGGTCTAGACAGAGGAGCTGCCCTGGGGTGTTGTACGTCAGGTGCTGGCCCTCAGGGAGACTCAGGTGGGAGTGAGGAGCCAAACCCCGCAGCCAAATTCAGCGGAGAGGCTCAGAGTGGCCGGTGACTCTGAAAAGAAAAGAAGGTCAGGAGCTTCTCCAGCAAACCTCACGTGGATCCAGAACAGACCATTAAAATCATTTGTGAGTTCTCAGAAAGGGAAGCAGAGACAAGCGTTATCATTCTGGGTTCTCCTAAAAAACAAGGCAGAGCAGACGAGCCTAGTCTTAAATTCCCACAGTCACTAGCCTAGTACCTGAGGACAACGCTGTAGGTCAGCAACGCCCTTGACCAACTCCTTATCTCACGGAATTGCTGAGAAATACGAGCCAGATGATAGGGTGGCGGGGCAGGTTTACAACTTGTCAGCTGATGGAAATTCAGACACACTTCCAGTGCTGTGCCCAGTCTCCCTGGCTTTCTCATAGAGAACATTCCGCCTGGGGACTGGATGGCTCACGTGGTTCAGCAGGAGACAGCGGAGGAAGAAGTAGAGTTTGGTGGACTGTGAACACCGCCTGAATCAACAGTGTGATGTTGATGAAGGGCCTACCAGCCCCCACCTGGGAGGTTCTGTTTCACCAGCTTAAGTCTGAAGGACACTGACTTGAGGACAGCGTGACAATGAGCATGATCGCAGGGGAGCCTAATATTTTGCCATGGCACAGAACTTGAGGGTGCTTGTCCTGTAATCAGAAAGACCGGGGCAGGGGCGCGGGGGCTTAAACGTTTATAAGTCTGCTCTGCTAGAGGAGGGTTGTTCTGCTTGGCCTGGAGCCTTGAGTAAAAGGATAACAGTGAACTCTACAGAACCAGAGTGGACTTTCGATAGGGGCCGGGCGGTCCCTCTCCTTGCCAGTGTGTGGGCAGCAAAGGTGCACTCAAGGGATGGGAGTGTCCTGGGGCCTGAAGCACTGGGACACGGTCGAGTGGACAGTGTCTGAGGGCTCTGGCAACCTGCCATTCCTCCAGGAAATGAGCCTGTGATAAGGAAGCCTGAGCCCTTCTGCATGGCTATCCCCTCTATTCCTTGCAGGCAGAAGGCAGCCAGATACATCACCTTTCTCGACAGCACTGTGGGAACACTTGTGCTTTTCTCAGAACGAGCATTAGCAAATATTTGCCCAAATGATTGCATATGGGAGAAGATACATTTTCCCGGACACCTGGCAGTCTGATTATGAAGCTGCGTAAATTATCAAATACTGAGGACAAAGTCACCTTCTATCTCCCTAGTTAGGCAGCATTGATTTTTTTTTCCTTAAAGGATAAATGATTTGAGAACCACTGTTTTTAATCACATTTGTCTCACAGAAAACAATTTTTTTAACAGATATTAAGATAGTTGTTGCTCCCAACAAAATGATAATAGTCAGGGGTATAGTCTTTGAAGTGAGATTATCAGGTGGTTTGAATGCCAACCCCACCATCTCCTGGACTGTGGCCTTGGACATACTTAACCTCCCTCGGTCTCAGCTTCCACATGTGTCAGATGGGGATGGAAATATTACCCGCCTCATAATGTTAATGGGAAGATTTCATGAGTGAATATATGTCAGGTCCCACAGAGTGCCTGGCAAACAGTAAGTGGCCAATAAGTGGATCAGCTGAGCAGCTGCAGAGCTCATGAAATATAATCAGAGAAAACTCTGTTTGTTCTCCTGCTATGCAGACTCTGGGAGACCTTGTTCCACTGTCTTCCCACACCGAGTACTTGTTTGTCCTTTGAACATGACTTACATCTTTTGATTGCTGGATTTTATCCTCAAGTGATTTATGTTCTAGAAGAGCCCGAGTTATGGCTCTTCCTGAGTGTCACCTACGCAACGGCCCATTCTGCCTGCTCCCAGGATGGCAGAGCCCAGATTTGGTTCTTTTATCTACTGTTCTCTTTCATAATGCCCGTAAACCCTGATTTCTCTAAGACGATAATGGTGATCACGTTTCCCAGCTGGTCCTTTGTGCTATCTCAAGATGTCACAGAGTAAGGTTGTAATGTCTGGGGTCGCTGCAGACATTTTATGACCATGAGGGAAGTCATCCAACATCTAACGGATGACAACTCCAAAAGATGGAAAGACCTTCAAAGAAGGATGATGTCACTGAGCCACTGAAATAACCAGCTCCAAAACTGTCTCGCCTCTATTCTTGGAAGGGAGACTATAAATCCTTATTGTTCAAGCCATCAGACATTGGATTTTCTATTACTTATGTTTGAAAACATGCCAATTCATGCACGAGTGCTATATTTCCTGAGGGCTTTCATATTTGGGAATATTGACTTCAGTGAGGAGAAATATCTTGGGTCACCTTTCTCCCCCAAACCTTTGTAAATGTTGCTACCTTTTCATCTGACATTGAAAGCTACCATGGGGACATCTGAGGCCACCAGATGCCCCTACTACTTCTCCCTGAAGTTCAATCACACCTCCAGATCTTTGGTGTTGGTTGTTCTATACCAGTGTTTCCTGGAATACAGTGAGAACTTTGGATCTGCAGATTTAGTTCTCTTCTTTCTTTCTTTCTTCTTTTCTTTGAAAAAAAAATTAATATTGGAGGACTCTCTTTTTAAGGAATAGCAACTAACCCCTTTCTGATCGCTCAAATGACGCAGTCTTTTTCCTGTACATTCACTGTAGTTGATCCAAGCTTTTCCTGTAAGTCGGTAATTCAGATGAATTGTGCCCAGTCTGCTTTTTGGTCTTTCTAGTTTTGGTTTCTCTATTGAATATTTCTGATTTTGATTTGGTTGCCTTAGCTGTATCATCTCTCTCTTCTCATTGTGCTGCTTTATTTTTTCTCCCAAACCTTATTCTATTAAGTTAGTGTTATTATTAATTTATTCTATGACATGGGACACATATGAAGAATTTGGTTACATTTTCTTCCAGACTAGGTTCTTCATCTGTTTCACCCATGTCATAATTCTGGGTTTTTTTTAAGATTTTATTTTATTTGAGAGAGAGAGGGAGCCCATGCATGAGTGGGGGTGGGGAGGGGCAGAGGCAGAGGGAGAAGCAGACTCCCTGCTGAGCAGGGAGCCTCAGTCCCAGGACCCTGAGATCATGACCCAGACCGAAGGCAGATGCTTAACTGACTGAGCCACCCAGGCGTCCCTCTTTTGTTTTTGTTTTTGTTTGTTTGTTTTCCCTTCCCCTGTTACTAACGTCCTACATTTGGATAGTAGATTTGTTGCTTCTGTCTTATTTAAATCTAACACGGATTGCTCTTTGTAAATCTTCTGTTCAAATATAATGTGAGCAAATTCTCCTTGACTGCTTTCTCACTATATCTGAATGAGTTTGAGAGCTGGAAGATTGCATTTTTATCTACTTTTCTATGACCTGTATACGCACTGAGGATTAGGGCTGATCCACTGGATGTGTGCAAGTCCTGGGCTCTGCTTGCTCCTGAGATTCTGTTAAACTTCTGCCACCATCCCCCACCCTTGTTAGGAGCCCACCCTGTTTCTGTGACAAACTGTCCTTGGATTTTGAATCTTTGCCTCTATACAGTGCCAAGTCCTAGAAAGTGGCAAACCCTAGTGATTTTTCCCGGCTCTGGACAGGTCCTGTGGGCAGTAAGGGCTGTTTTCTACTCGTGATAGTTTTGTCTCACCTGGATTTCCCCAGGTAGCTTGCTTCTCATCTCACTTTGCAGATTCATGTCTTCCTTGTATCAAAAAAGCATTAGTGAGGAATCTTGGTATTTTGTCTACTTGGTTTCCTTCCCTAGTGGGGATCTTTGGGGAACGGGGATGAGATTCAGATGCCATTCTCCACTGCAGACTTTTATTTCACTGAGCACAATTTTTTGAAGTTTATGGCACAAAGTTTTACTTAATTTTTTGTTTAGTTGCTCTTTTCTCTTGTTGTTGTTTTTCCTGATTTTTGCTCTTCTTTTGTTCATTTCATTAGTAATCGTGGAAGAGAGGTTCTGTGATCCAGAATCACGCTGTCCTTTTTATGTAGATGCCTTCTCCATGCTCTTTCAACTGCATTGGTTCTGAATATATATTTCTGCTGGAATTGCAGGTTATAAAATTTGCAAATTCACTAAAGATGAAGAAAGAAGGGCAGTGAAAGCAGACACTCACAGCGACCTGCTAATAACTAACATCCACGTGGCATTTTCCATTCACAACACACTAGCTCCTTATCTCACTTTCATTTCGCCCAAAAGGGCAGGACTGCTTCTGCCCTGTATCCCCGGACCCCAAGTCTGCGCTTGGCCCGGAGGAGAAGCCCAGGCAAGTTCTGAACAAATGAATGACTGTCATCCCATTTTACAGATGGGAAGACTGAGGCTATAGTCAAGGCCCTTGTCCAAGAGGGGGCAAACGGGGAAGAGGGAAGACGGTGTGGAGGACGACGAGCCAGCGGAAGGGACCTGGGCCGGTGGGTCCGCCGGGAGGTCAGCCGCTCACCCTGGTCCCAAGCAGGCGGCGGCTCCCTCCCGCCGACCAGCATCCCGCCGCGCCAGGGCGCGGTTGCCACGGAAACCGGGCAGCAGCGCAGGCGCGTGGAGCTCGGGGGGCGGGGACGCGCCCGGCCGGACGTAAGCCCGCACTGCGCAGGCGTAGCGTCTCGGTTGCTAGGTTCCGCCTCGCGGCCACTGTAGGGTTCCCGAGCCTCCGGGGGCCAAGGGGACGTTCGAGCTCACCCCTCTGTGCCTGCGCGCTCTCGCCTTTTCCGGCCCAAAGCGAGAGGATAGCCCCGATCGCCGTCCGCCTCCTCCTGAAGGGCCTCTCCGTGGACGCCCCCGCTGGTGGTGCGGCGCCTGCAGCGGCCGCCCTTCGGGGCGAGACGGAAGAGCTTCCAGGCGGGCGAGGGAAAGAGGGAAAGTAGCCACCATGTCGAACGCGTAAGTGAAGGGCTGCGGGCTGAGAGCCCCGGGCGGGCGTCCCCGGACGGAAAGAGGGCTCGCTCTGCTGCTGTGCCTTTTCCTTCTCTGCCCTCCGCTCCTTCACGTTGGCAAATGAAGGCAGGCCCGGGACAGAGGACCAGGTTCTTGTGGACAAGGAGTGGCATGCGCTAGGTCTCCCTCCTCCGGGTCGCACGCCGCTCCGCCCGTGGGGATGAGCCCCCGTGAGCCCGTGGCTCACGCCCTTGCTGCCGTCCTAGCGGAGCAGCAGCGCCTGAATTCAGGACGTTGCGCACATCGCCTGCTTCTTTTGTTCGTCTTTCCCAGTTACACGTGGATTGCTTTGTGGAAACACCCAGGCCCCGCATTAAGGGAGGAGCTTGAGGAAGCTCTATGGCACCACTCTGCTTCTCACAAGGAACCGCCGTGGGCGGTGGGCGCACCGGAAAGGGGGTGCGCCCAGCGCTTGTTTCGTTGGGTCCTCGCCGGGACCATTTAGGACGAGTGACGGGGCTGATCCTGCGGGCGCCGCGCCGAGTGTGGGAAATACGGCAGCGCGTGTGATCTTCCCGACACCCCCTAATGCAGGGCCTGTTAATATTGTTATTCCCATCGTACAGCTGAGGGATCGGGCGCAGAGAGGCCAAGTGGTTCATCCCGAGCAAGCGGGCGGTGCCATCCCAGCCTGCAGGCACGCTCTTACTAACCCTATTGGTAGGGGGGGAAATGAGAGCAGAGAGATCGGGGCTTGCTGAGATGCGGCAGGCGGGCAAGATAGGGAGCTCAGTTTGGGGCATGCCGAGTTTGAAGGGCCTACTGGAGGTCAAGTAGGCAGTTGAATATTCGAGCCTTGAGTTCAGGAGAGAGCTCTGTGTATGAAATATAAACTCGACAGGTGTTGGTATGTAGACGGACTTTACTGACACGGCATGAGTGTAGACAGAGAGAAGGGGTCATCAGGTGGTAAGAGACTGGGGAACAGAGACCGGCAAAGGGATCAAAGGTGTGATCCGTGAGGAGGAAGCAAAACGGGGGTGTTCTGGAAGCCAGGTGAACAGGAAGCAATGTTTCTGGGAGGAGGGAGCGACAGACTCAAACACTGCTGAGACAAGTCAGAAGAGAACCGAAGTGGGCCATCCGTTTAGCAAGGCGGGGCCCGCCGGTGCCCTTGACCCTCGCGGGGGATGGAGTAGGAAGGTTGCTGAGAGTGGGAGGGAACAGGAGGAGAGACAGTGAGCATGGCCAACCTTTTAAAGTTTTGCTATAGCTGGTGCAGGGAAATGGGGCCAGGAGACAGATTTTTTTGAAGATAGGAAGCAATGGCATGTTTCTTTGCTAAAGGAAAGGGGATGGTGAGGAGGACGAGGGAGCAGTGGGGTGATGTTGCTAGTGGGAACATGAGCTCCAGCAGGTGGCTCGAGGTCTTGGCTTTGAGGGAATTGAGGACGGTAGAGTCTGTCGGTAAATGCTATTCTTCGGTAGACACCTTGTGGGGTCCTGGAAAGATGGTGTAGGGAGTAGACGATGGGGACAGTGAGGGGCAGTGGTGATGCCACCTGATGAAATGAGGTGCAAAGCTAGGGGATGGGGCAGGGAGAATGATCTGGAAGTGGCGGTGAGGAGCAAGGACATTGACCCCACGCCCCGACAGCGGTTGGAGGAGTCTGGCGGAAAGGGAGCCTCTCTTGTGAGGGCTGCAGGGAAGGACAGCGGGCCTCCCTGAAGCAAGAAGGCCAAGGGAATATTCTGGAAAGAGGACAAACAGCTACATAGTATTGGAAGAATTTGAAGATTTATCCTATATAAAATATCTTGGGAAGAATTCTCATTTTGCAAGATTTAGATTTTTCGTCGAAGCACGTGGTATGTGTGAATAGTCCAGTCTTCCCTTCCCCCACCCACCTGGCTACAGAAAATCTGCCAAGCTATAGAAATAACAGTCTGGCCGTTTTCAACTGTCATATTCCGTCTTCTCTACCCACAATCCTCCTGACTTCAAAACCTGCAACATTTCTTGGTCATATGCTCAAGTCTGAAACCAATCATGTGCTTAAAAAAAAAAAAATTCTAAGTAGTCTCATGGATAAAATACCACCTTCTCTTTACAAGGTGCATTTAAAATTTCACGAACACTTTCACAGCTGTTATCCCATCCCACAGTAATCCCTTGGGGTGTCCAGAGAGGTGTCCTTATCCAGATTTGCCACTTGAGGAAGTGAAGGCACAAAGAGGCTGTGGCAAGTCTGAGACCCACTGCCTCAGGAGACAGCATGAGGTCTCCCCATGCCCATCAGCTGCAGCGCGGGCAAGAGACTGGGGTGTATGAGTGCCTGGACCATACTTGGCAGCAAGGAGAAGCGAGGTCCTGATGCATGCCTCCGCACGTGTGCACTTTGGAAACATTGTGCTGAGGGAAAGGAGCCAGACCACAAGGGCCACCTACTGTGTGGGCCCATTTATGTGAGATGCCCACAGTAGGCAGACGGATACAGAAATTAGATTAATGGTGGCCAGGGGCTGGGAGGAGGGGGGACAGGGGCTCCTCTTGGGGAGATGAAAATGTTCTCGAGTTAGATAGAGGTGGTGGTGGTGAATATACTAAAACCCACTGATTGGTGGGTTTAAAGGATAAAATTATGGAACGTGAATCATATCTCAATGATGTTCTTATTTAAAAAAAAAAAATTTGCGGGCGCCTGGGTGGCTCAGTTGGTTAAGCGACTGCCTTCGGCTCAGGTCATGATCCTGGAGTCCCGGGATCGAGCCCCACATCAGGCTCCCTGCTCGGCGGGGAGTCTGTTTCTCCCTCTGACCCTCCTCCCTCTCATGCTCTCTGTCTCTCATTCTCTCTCTCTCAAATAAATAAATAAAATCTTTAAAAAAATTAAAAAATAAAAAAAAATTTGTCCTGCGACATCCCAGGTCTCACGTAATGTTCCCGGGCACTGGCTCAGCAGAAGAATGCAGGGACCGAGGGGCAGCGAGGCGGGGCGGGGCTCAAACCGGGCGGGGACTGCATGCAGGGGCAGTGCGGGCTCCCCAGGCTGGCCAGGCTGAGTCACAGTGGCCAGGCCCTGGCGGTGCAGAGGCCGGTGAGGTTGTGGCCAGTGGGCGCACAAGGAGGAGCGTCAGGACAGCAGGGAACCTGGAAGGCAAGGACGCCAAGGTCAGTGTCCAGAGGAAAGGGTGATGATGCGGGGTGGGCTGGCTCACATGGCTGCCTGATATTTCCCATCACCCAGTGACCCGTGCCTGGTCGCTCCAGAAGAGCAGCAGGTGAGGAAGGAAGAGGCTGCCGCCCAAAGGCAGGACTTGGAAAGCTCAAGCTACCAGGAGAATCCTCAGCCCAGAGTTCCAGTGAGGGGTCAGCTCAGCCATGGCCCTGGAGGGGTTCCTGCCTCTTTGACCCTGGGCGGACGCCAATGAGTGCACAGAGCTAGGGCAGCAAGTCTTCCCCGGGCTGGGTCTGTCCCAAAGCGGAGTCCAGGCATTCCTAAATTCTGGGTGCGTTCCGTCCACCAATGTGGGTGTGGTTGCCCCTGGTGGAAGCACCATCTACACAACATCCCTTGATCACGATGGGCGTGGGTCTTTGTGGGATTCAGGTCACCCCACCTGCACCCCACAAGGCAGCCTCCGTGGGGTCTTGCACAACCTTGGTGCTTACTGGCATGTTCAGTGCTTTGAAGTCTGATAAATGCCCCTTACTTTTCATCACTGACCCCAGCCCCACATTTAGAAATTATGACTAGATTTATTTATACAGACTCCAGTATATCATTCCCAGATTCTCGGTAATGTTAAATCTGCCTGTCAGTCTCAAGACTCTGCTTTCTTGGGGCGCCTGGGTGGCTCAATTTGTTAAGCAGCTGCCTTCAGCTCAGGTCATGATCCCAGGGTCCTGGGATTGAGCCCCACGTCGGGCTCCCTGCTCAGTGGGAAGCCTGCTTCTCTCTCTCCCTCTGACTGCCACTCTGCCTACTTGTGCTCTCTCTCTCTGTCAAATAAATAAAAACCTTAAAAAAAAGAAAATTTAAAAAAGAGTCTGCTTTCTTTTTTTTTTTTTTTTTTTTTTAAGATTTTATTTATTTATTTGAGAGAGAGAGAGCATGAGATGGGGGAGGGTCGGGAGGGTCAGAGGGAGAAGCAGACTCCCTGCCGAGCAGGGAGCCCGATGCGGGACTCGATCCCGGGACTCCAGGATCATGACCTCAGCCGAAGGCAGTTGCTTAACCAACTGAGCCACCCAGGCGCCCGAGTCTGCTTTCTTTTTATCTTGTCTCTCCAGCCTTCTGCCTGTTCTGATCCTCCGCAGCTAGCATTCTAGAATTTTCTTCAGTTACATCTTGTGTGGCTCCCACCATATTCATTCTTAGATGTTTAATCAGTAGTGGGAGAGGGGTTTCATTTTTCGTATTTTTCTCTGTGTTCAGTGTTTGTGGCTTTTATTGATGTCTTGCAACTTTGCTGCATAGTTGACTTCTTATATTTTGTTACCAATTTCCTTGGATTTTGCCACTGTGTCATTTACAAGCAGTTTCTTAAGTCTTTTGTGTGAATCCCTTTTCTGTCTGCTTGATGTTCTTTCACTCCTGTCTTTTAGATTTCTAGTGTGTCTCCTGAAAATATTTTTGGTCTCCGGTGTTCAGCGTTTTGAAGGGCTGACAGCATCTGTTCTTTGGGGTATGCGGGCGGTATTCTTAATCAGGCATATGCCATAAATTAAATTTATTGAGCATTTTCTTGTCATCTGTGGAAATAATCTTCAGTTTGTACCATTCTGTTGCTGTATTTAGCTCAGCTAGTCTTCATGCTGAACTCTCGCAGATTCCTGGGATGACCCCTCCCCGGTCAGAGGGAACCACTCTTTTGATCTGGGGCTGAGTCCTGTTTGCTAAGTGGGATTTCAGATCCGAGTTCTAAACAAAATTAGCCTGTAATTTTCTTCTGTAATGCTGTCCTGACAGGTTTAGGCCACAAAACAAACCACATGGCTTTCTGTTTTATGTGAACATGGGTTGGACAGCTGGTGTCACCCGTCAGGTCAGGGGAGACCTGAGTGTGCCGCCCCCCTCAGATGCTCGGAGTCTGGGCTTTGGTGAACTAGGAACAGGCTCAGCTTCTGGGCACCCTTCCCAGCTTCACCTCCCCCGGGGCAGATGCTTGATAAGCCAGTGTTCATTGTCCTGTTTGTTTCTGTCTTCCCTTCCCCCCTCCTGTTTGCCTGGTTTTTTAAGGTGCAGAAGGCAGAATCGCCACCATACGTGCGCCACCTGATGCTGGGACCCGTTGGGCCCAGAAGGTGTTGCCGTTACTGTTCTGGGATGGGGTCGTTTCTAATAGATAGTCATTTCTTCTGCAAGGACTGGCAAGTCCTGTGCTAACCAGAATCTAACTGCCCCCTGTAAACGTTCTCTCTTCATAAAGCCATCTGGCAGGATGTTCTTTCATTAGCGATATTTTTTAAGTATGTCCAAGTTTGGAGACATCTGACACTCGCACCCCCCGGGCGGCGTGCCCAAGGCAGTATTCAGCATCCACACTCAGTGGAGGACTGTGGGGAGAGGTGTATATTCAACTGTAAATCTTGGCCCATCACAGCTACGCCACCTGATTCGTCACCCTCATTTGCTTTCACCCTGAAGAATGGGGGCCGCAAAGGGGCTCAGACTGTGAGCCCTGGAGCCAGACTGCCTGGACGCGGGTCAGCTCTGCTGTGCCTCTGTTTGCTCCTCTGTGAACTGCGGGGATGACAGCACCTGCTTGAGAGGGCTGTTAGGTTTATGAGAGCTGATACCTGTAAAGCGCTTAGGACGGTGACCAGCATTATGTACTTTTGAGCTGCTTCCATCCTCATCCTCATCCTCATCCTCATCCTCATCATCTGAACCTGAAAGGCTCTTCACCCACCGAGAGAACTTCTGACTTTTGGCCAAGGAGATGAAAGTCTCTCATCTCTGTTCCAGGAACATAAAAATAAGAGATTTAAAAAAAAATGTTTTTTTAATGTTTTATTTAAAAATTTTATTTTTAGGGGCACCTGGGTGGCTCAGTAGGTTACGCATCCGACTCTGGATTTTGGCTCAGGTCATGATCTCAGGGTCCTGGGATGGAGCCCCGCGTGGGACTCTGAGCTCAGTCAGTGGGGAGTCTGCTTGTCTCCGTCTCCCACTGCCCCTCCCCCTGCTGGCACGCACACACTCTCTGAAATAAATAAATCTCCCTCTCTCTCTGAAATAAATGAATAAATCTTAAAAAAAGTCTTTAATTGTTCTTTTAAGTTTGTATTACTTGGTAACATACTAATATGTATTTATTATACTGAATAGTGGAAGAGTACATTTTAAAATAAAATGAAAATATCTTAAATTGAAAAACTAAAGAATTGGAATTTTTTTAATGCAAGTTGAAACTCTCTGCACCAGGAGCAGCGTGGGAGTGCACAGCAGAGAGCAGAGGCAAGCAGGAGGCCTGGCCAGGCCCTGGCACAGGGACGGGCACTGTGCTCTGGGATTGCTGCCCCAGCGGGGCCTGGTTCCAAACCAGCCTGGAGGACTGCAGCTGGACCCGCATGAAACCGGGTGGGATCGCCCTTCCCAGCAGGATGGAGGTGGAGGGCACGTGCCTACAGCCTGCCCTGGGCTGTAGTAAGACACCAGCTTCTCAGCTGGAAGGCAAGCTAAGGAACTCATAGGCACTCAGTATATATAAAGAACCCCCATAAACTAATAGACAAACAATCCAATGTAAAAACAAGCAAAACAAATGGATAAACGATCTGAGGAAGAGAACTTGCAAACAACCCCTATGCAGGTGGATATTCAATCTCATTTGCAACCAGGTGAATGGACATTAGAATGTTGAGACTAAATTTCTCACCCATGATCTTGGCAAGAGTTATGATTATGTATTTTCTGGTGATACTGGTGGTTCTTTTATTTTTGGTCAAGGTAGAGGCGGTGGTACAGTGTAGAATAACGGTTCCAAGCCCAAGACGGGGCTCAGACACTGACCTCACCTCTGAGGAGCAGGCCACCTCCTCCCACCTCAGCGGGAGTAACAGGAGCCTTGTTCATGGAGCGTGGCCAGGGTCACACCTAGCACAGGTCACAGCATGCGGTCAATTCCAGGAAGTAATGCTGGCAATTTCTCAGAGGGAAGTGTGGAGAATGAGTGAGGAAGGGCAGGTAGTGGGAGCAGAGCCGAGCACCAAGAGGGGATGCCCGCTAATGACCTTGGGAAGGTCGATGAGGGATTCCCAGTAAAACAAGGTGGATTTTATGAGCAATTTTATTTCCTGCTCTTCCTGAATCACCTCCAAAATGGCAATAGGGGATGTCAAAGGCTATAAACACACGAGGGCCAAGGGAACGTTAGAGCATTTGCCAGGAGCTATCACGAGAACATAGAAGGAGGGAATGCAGATGAGATGAGGGGGGAAGAGGCAGGCATATGGGACCTGAGCGCCAGCAGAGGGGGAGGGAAGAAAAGCCCACCTTCTGGCAGAACCCTGGCAAGAGAGGAGGCAAGGTCTGGTCCTTCTGAGGTGGGGCTAAAGGTGGTAGGTCTGCCTAAGGGGCATTTTGACCCCAGAGAGCAGGTGCCCAGCCGCCCCCGTGCTGACAGAAGAGGCTCGTGCAGGCAGCCTGGACCTGGGGGTGCCACACACAGGTGAGAATGGGGTTGGGAGGCCAGGCTGGTGGCAAAGAGGAAGGGAGAGCCCTCACTCCCCTTGACCCACTGGCTCCATTCAGGCAGAGATTGAGCCCCCCCGGCCAGCACAAGAAAGACCTAATGGGTTGTGGGTTTCCCCCTCATCCCAGGGAAAGGGCCAGGATCCTGCCCACCCTCTCACCCCCGGGAGAGTTAATAAGCCTCTTCCCAGACACACTGATCTTTCCATTAGCCTTTCATCTGATTCTGGGACATAAAGAGAGCCAAAGTCACCCAAAATGTCAACCAAAATTCTGCCTTGGATGTGTTGGTCAGAGTCCAGGCAGGAAAAAGATGGCACCCTCAGCAGGATGGTTAAAAAAGGGACTGGCAGAAGAGATGGAGACAGAGTCTCAAGGAACCGATGAGGGTCATGGGGCGCAATGCAGAGCGGCTACCACCCTGAGCCTTTGGTAGAAGGAGGCTCCCAACCGTGTGCTGAGCCACCAGGGAGGCAGTGGGAGAGGACAGACCTGCATCTCACTCTCCTCTGCCCTCCAGCTCCCTGTCTGCTCCACAGACCTAGGGGCCGGCCTCCCACGCCAGCCATGCCTTGCTTCTTATGTCCCACATTATGGTTCTCAGGTTCACAGTTATTGCGTAGAGCTGTAAGTCATTCACTCTCCACTGCAGGGACTAGTCCGCTGGGAATACACTGCAGTTTATTTATTCGTTCTCTTATTCATATACAGTTGGTTATCTCCTTGTTCAGGCTATTGTAAAGAAACGCTTTTATGTTCATTGTAATACAGATTTACAAGAGTTTCTCTGGGGAATGATTGTTCATTCAGAGGGTCTGCCCGTGTTTGACTTTACAAGGTGGTGCAGAATTACTTTCCAACGTGGTTGTTCCAACTCATAGCCCACCAGCTGTGTGTGTGGACAAGTCAGTGGAAAACTCTGGCTCACAGCTTCTTCATCTCTGAAATGGGTGTAATCATGCTGGTTTTACAGGTACGGTGAGGAATCACTCTCATCACTGAGGTGAAAGGATTTTTAAGCTGCGTAGGTGATAATGATAGCGGCAGTCATGTCCGAAAATCACGTGCACCTCAGAAGAAGACATAAATGGTCTAAAGGGAACTGTACTCCGTGCTCCAGGTTCACATTTGATGCCGTGTCACCATTTGTTATTCCAGATGCCCATTTTGTATGGCTCACAAAGGAATTTGCACTTATTCTCTGTCTTTCCCCAGAATGTATAATAAGATGTGGCATCAGACCCAAGAAGCCCTCAATTCTTTGCTTGATAAAGAGTCTCAGAACACGATGGAATCACAAAGCAATCAAGTTTTCATCTTCCAAATGTTGGCCACCTTCTACATAAAATACGTGCAGATCTTCAGAAACCTGGAGGATGTCTATGACCAGATCGTCCACCCGCAGAAGCGAATATTGATCCGAAAAATACTGGACGGAGTGATGGGTCGCGTCCTGGAACTGAAGAATGAAATGGTGGAATTGGAATTAACGGAGTTTCATTATTTTGATGACATCCTACAGGATCTAAAGTTGGCTCCTGTAAGTACTCAGCTTTTTCTCTTATCCGTTTCTTGTTATTTTAAATAAGCTATGTAGGTCTCTAACCAATTTTCTACAGACTTTCTAGACATCTTTGCTGATTGTTGTATGAAAAGTTGAAGCGTTGCCCCTCAGCTGGGCCATACCCCCCTGGACAAGGATTGGGTCCCTGTAGTTTTGGGCACAGACAAATCTTCACACAGCCCTTGGGTCCATCGGACACTGAAGTTGTTTTCTTCCTTGTCACCATGGTGTCTGCCCAGATCTGTTGGCTGGAGTAGGCCATCTCTTCCATAAATATCCTGGGACACAAACCCTCCCGATTTCCAGTCGAAGTGCCCCTACTTCTGTTTCCAAAGGAGATCTCCCTCTGGCCTCTGCTTCCCATCATCTTCTTCAGGATGAGCAGCCTATTGGTTACCAGTTCTTTCTTCCCAGATGGATGTGTTTCCTCCTCTGCTTTGGGTCTTTGGTGACTCGGGGATTTTTGGCAATAGGCCTTTGAGCCTCAGACAAGAAGGAAGGGCATCCTCCCTCTCTGATGCCCTGGAGCTGTGAGCATTCTGCCCCACTGCTGCCCTCCCGACCTTCACTGCCAAACACCCAGGGTCTCTTCTGACGCACTGTCTGGCCGAGTCTGCCAACGCCAGTGGACAGACAGCTCACTTCAGTGTCACGGTCCTGGGAGCTCACTCTTCATTTTGAAAGGAACATTTCCCGAAAATAAAATTAAAAGGAGACAGTGTTCAATTTTCTACCTGGTGTTTAATGCCTCTTCCTTTTGAAAATATTTGGGATTCTATCAAGTTTATGTTTCTTTCTGGAATAGACTTTCCTAACATTATTACTGCACTTCATTAGAATGGACTCTAAGGAATAACTAAAATGATTAGAACGTGAAGATCACTCCAAAACTTTTGTGTTTATTGCATTTGTTTATAAGAGTGTGGATTAAAGCACCAGATTTTTTCGATTAGGTGTACTTTACTCACCCATGTGAGTCTATCAGGAACACCTGAGGATAAACATGAAATCAAATCATTAAGTCATATCCCTAAATTGAATTAACAAAGTAATATAAAATGTGTTAATTTAATGCCAAGACTATTAAATAATATTCTCAAAGCTGAAGAATAAGAAATTTATGAAATTTATGTGGTGGGCTCCTTCAGATTTTCTGGTTCACCTGGTTCATCTTCTCAAAGGCCATGAGCACTGAAAGGGGTGAGGAATGAGGGACATTGTCCAGGAACCTTTCCTGGTGGGAGACTCTCAACTGTGTTTTCCACCATTTCCGAAGGGTGCACGGTGAGCCACGTGATGACACTGGGGCACGTCCAACAGCAGCAGCATGGACCCCAGAGCTGTGCCGGGCCAGGGAGACACATGTGTGCCATCTCTGGGAGCTGCTACGTGGCTCAGTTCTGCACCCCTGTCAGGGCCTCCATGGCTGCCACCTGCACAACACACAGCTCTCCGTACAATATGACCCACAGTCCGACCACAGCTGGTCAGTTCGGGGATGGGTACTGGTGGCTGCACCAGGCAATCCTTCCCTCAGAGATTCTGAAACTGAGACAGAGACACCAGTTCCTGTCTCGGAGTCTGAACTTCAGGCTCCCAAATTTGTGAGTAGTTGGAGCCTTTGTTCTGAGATGCTCAGAAGAATGAAGAAAGCTGCTCTTGAGAGTGAAGGAGGGAGAGAACGAGAGAGAGAGAGAGAGAACAAAACAGACTCACCAAGAGGAGCAGAAGTAAATGGCAGAGTCCTGAAAGCATCTTCATCCCTGGACACATCCCTGCTGATGAGGAACTCCCCACTGTGTTCCTGCCCTAGGTCCACAAAGTCTTAAGTCCATCCATCAGTGTCCCCTACGGCTAAACTAACCGGAAGAGTGTTTCTGCAGCCTGCCATGTAAGGAGCCTTCCTAATAGGTCCCTGATATAGAGAAACGTGTCAGGGAGAGAGGGAGTTTCTCTGCCATAAGAAGTGTCCTTGATTCCACCCCGTAGAGGATGGAAACTCCGTTAGTCTAAGAAAATTTGGTTTTCAAAAACAGTTGCCACCTGGTACTGATATCGTCTCACCAAGTCCTAAAAAAAGACACCCCTTTACGGGATAATGCTTCTTTAAGGGAAGGCCTGTTCAAAATCCCCTGGATGGGGGAGAGGGTGTGGGGAGTTACACCAGAATGGGAAGAAGGGGAGCTGACCCTGAGGACCAGAACCTTAGCTTTGCCAGGCCAACTGGTCTACCAGAGGCAACCAGGAGTGTCTGAGAGTCTAGGACAGTGTTTCTCAATGGGGGTGCCCAAGGGCCCATCCCATACCCCCGAAAAACACTTCTATACTCCTGATTGTTGAACTTGGGCTGGTAAACCTTCGTGTGACCTCCACTAACTGAAATACTTGGTAATATGCATAAATGAAAAAACAGAAGTTGATATTTATTGCATAAAAAACAAGTTTCCTAATAAAGCAAATGAACTTTACCAATAATTTTTGTAATTTGGGGTAATTTAGGTAAAAATAAGAACAAATTATTAGGGGAAAAATGTGATCATTTACATGCAAGTAATGATACTGATGATAACTTACGAGATTGAATTCAAAGATCTCTACATCACCATGCTTTGCTATCTTAGTCTGCATTATTATTTTAGGTAGGCTGAGATGATATTATGTTTCTTTAAAGACCTTCATTAAGTTATCATTAGTTAACTGAGGATTAACTGATGTGGGTTCTCAAGTTTTACTGTAATGATTAAAACGAGGGCCATGGTGATGGTTTTTTCTTGTGACTTTGTGTCTCCTCAACGGTAATGAATTCTCTTCACGCCACCTACCTCATCACCTCTTAAATCAGGATGGGAGGTAAAGTGCGTCTCTTTGATGTGCAGTCCTTACTGCATAGCTTAGATGGATTTGAGTCCTGGAATTGTGACAAAAGTGGCAGTTTTGACCAATTGTGACAAAATTGTGCCCTTTGGCTCATTCTTTCTCTTCTCTAGCAACAATTAGATATTCCCATTCCCAAGTATTTTTTGAAGGAGAAGCTGGAAGTCATCAAAGGAAGAGAGAAAATCCTTGCTCAGATATTGGCCAACACTGGACTAGATATACCTGAAAAGGTTCGTATATTATTTTAATAAACATCATTCCATAATCTATAAAACCTTTTTCCGTGGCTCCTGATTGTGTGAGAGACAGATTATTTCCAGTGGGAAGAAAGCAGCACCCGCCCCTCGTGCTATTCGGTGTATGTAAAAAGTTGCTTACCTTGGGGACGTATTTTTGATGATTCCTGACCATTATTTTTCAAGAACTTAGAAATAGAGATCAAAACATAATGCTTTGTTGGTTAAGTCAGTATCTCTGAGACTGAGCAGATTTATCAGCTCGGTTTGATTTTTCGTCTCAGACCCCTAACCTAAAGTCAGAAGCAGAATGCTTTCATATGAAATAATTAAGCGTTAAGCTAACCTCCTGGTCAGTCTTTCCCTTCCAGACTTTTCCGCACGGCACTGCCACATCCACCTTCTGACAAGTCTGCTTGTGCATTTCAGTGGCCCTCGCTGCCTCCCGCGCATCAGTGCCTCACGGCCCTGGCTGGTCATGGCCCATGTAGGGAGGCGGCAGTTGGCCATCCCAGCTGGGACGATTCCAAGTGAAAGGGGCACTGTCAGTAACTCTGCTGGGAAACAGGTGCGGCCCCAGTGCCCAGGGGAAACCAGCACATGTGGGCTTCCTACAGACAGGCCCCGTTGGGTGTTGTCAGCCTGGGTCCTGGTGCCAAGGAAGATTCCAAGCGCAACCAGAATGACAGTGGGGTGGGAGCAGGACGTGCCCTGTCTGCCTGCTGCAGGAAGTGCTTGGGGTGCTCTGTGCTCCCTCTCGGCCGTGGACATGCTTCATGCTGCATAGAGGGCTCACTCTTCTCCCCACAGCCCAGCCTGTCGAAATGGTACTCATTCATCAGAGCCCGACCTGATGCAGCACCCCTCCAGAAACCTGACCCAACTAACTCAGGACCGTCTCTCCTTCCTTCGCCTCTCCCCTAACTGACTGATCCTCCCTCTGCATTGCATCCCTGGAAATCCGTCCTGGGGCTATTTCAAGTAGGGGTCATCACCATCCTTGCACATGTTGGTGCCTTCAGTCCATGCATCATTCAGAAGGAAGCACTCAGCGCTTCACCCAGCTCCCCCAAGGTATCTCCTGGCATGAAACATTGACAAGCAGTGCAGAATTCACAGAGGATTTTATAGGGGAAATGGAGGAGGGCGATGACGTACACACTATGGTCAAACCCTAAAAATTCCCCTTTGCTGTTTCCCCTTTCTGCTGTCCCTCTTTGCTGGTGCAGGGTCAGCCGCTGGGAGCTTTCTCTCCGCAGCAAGCCCTAGCTGGCTCCACTAGGTAGAGCCGTCCATCTCCATCCCAGCCCCAACTTCTGATGGGCCCAACATCAGCAACACGCCGGGCTCTGGGCAACAGCCCTTGGCATCTGTGTGACTTTCTCATGCCCTTCAGTGCCTCACGAGACCCCACTTTCACCTCAAGCTGCTTATTTCTTGAAGATATATGCAATATATATCCCAAAAAGAATTTTGAGAGGCAAATATTGCCATCCAGTCCTACATCTTTAATGCTTAGTATTTACTCTTGGGCCCTCTGTAAATGCTCAAAAATGAGTAGACCACTCAAACCCTCAGAAGTCTTCAATAAGGGCTATAATGATTTCCAGAATGACAATATGGAATCTAAAGGAAATAATAATACAATAATAACTAATATTTGCAGGACACCTACTATCTGCTTAAGCTCTTGTACATACCTTGTGCGGTTCAATGCCGACATGGTATCCATTCTACTCTAACCTGCTGAGTGCATTATTGGAAATGTGCGCTCACTGAAAATTTGAGGTGATGAGATCTCACTGAAAACCAAACTCTGAGGAATTGTGACATGAAAGAGCCCCTCAAAGGGAACCAGGGCACCACACTGGGGAGCAGAGGAGGAGGGTCAGTCTTGGTTCAAATTGGCTCTACCCCTTACTAACCACGGGAGCTCAGGTCAATTCTATTTCTTCTGTCAGCCTCGGTCTTAACTCTTGACTGGTCACAAAAATACCCACCTTGGGGGTTGCTTTGTGAATTTGCCGAGATTATCTATGAAAAGCCTCTGGCTTCTGTAGGGTCTCAGTAAATGCCCCTTTCCTTTCCCTGCTCCTTCCTGGGCACCGTCCCCCCACTCCCACCCCCACCCCCACCCCGGGGCCATTACAGAGAAGACATCATCATGGGAAACAGGGGCCCTGGTGATGAATCGGAACACCCCACACTTGGGACCTCAGGGTCTGGCACCACGTTCTGATAAGGTGGCCATGCTGCCCTCTGAGACCTTGGCAAGGATTCAGCCCATGAGTGGGTGTTTTCTGATTCAGAAGGCCTCTCCTTTCTGCCTCTGTCCCTGCATGAGGCTCCACCCAAGCCAGGCCACATCCCCAGCTTCTCCCGAGCCCCAAGGACCACAGAGAGCCTCACCCCTGAGCCCACTCAGAGCTCTCGCAGGGCTCCGGATGCCCCAACAACCTTGCTCTTGACCCTCCTCAGGAAATGTCACAGCCCCACACCTGGCTTTGCTTCCCCCTAGCCCATCTGAGGTCCCCAAAGGCAGCATTTTACCGCATGAGCCCTGGTGTTTCTCCAGTCATAAATTACCCATCCCATTTGGATGTTTTGAAATGCAAATTTGTAAGTACTAGAAGACATTTCACATATAAACTGAATACTCCTAAAATGATTTTAACATTACTCATATTTACTAGATCATCCTAATGGATTGGATGGATTTTGAAGTCAGCATTTTACCTCATGTGTATTTTACATTTTAAGTTCTCATATTAAAGATGTGCTTTTAATTTATATGTTTCTACTATTAAGTTAATAAAACATGAATAGCAATTTTGAGTTTTATTGAATCCATTTTATTAGCATTCCTGGTATAATTTGCTGCCAACCTAAAATATTGTGGAACTAATTGGTATTTTGTTCGGAATGGTAGAGGAAAACTTAGGGGGTTTCTTAAATCGGGGACCAGAGCAAGAGCCACGGCATGTTATCAAAATTCACATAGTTAATGAGTGAGATGGTTAGTATTAAACCACCATCAGACTCTTCATCAACAGTTTGGGAACTCCTAGCAAGGTTGTGTTTAGAAGTAAGCACATGATGTATATGGAATCAACTGATAGAGTTAACATGTTTAAACATTGATTTAACTTGAAAGTTTTCACAGAAATACACCGTAAAGGGTATCCCCCTAGAAGAGGCTGTTAAACTAATCCAGATCGCTGAGAGAGCACGGCAAGGTCGCCTAAGAGCGATGTTCATGAAGCAAATCTTCCTCCAAGAATACAGAGCAAAGCAAGCCAAGATCCTTGGCGAGAAAGTTGCTGACGTGGGAGCCGCCGCGCTGCAGATTCAGAAGGTGCGCGCGTGGTGCTCGTGTTGCTGGGGACAGGTGTCTTGACACAGATGCACCCCAGGGCCAGGGGTGAGCTCTGAAACCCCAAATCCCAAAATCCTACCTTGAATAGAGCTGGATTTTAAATTCCAGAGAGATTTTTTATCTTACCCTGGAGAAACCGTTAACTAAGCTTGGTCGTGTTTTTTAAGATTTTATTATAAATAGGTATAGAATGCAGGGCATTTGGTTCAGATATTTTTAAAGGTCATTGATAATTGTTGGAAAGAATGTGGCTCAAAATTCATTGAGGATTTATATCCTCAGTGTGTATTCACACACAGACGTAACCATAGAAAGGGAGCAAGGGTCCACACCTGCTGGCTTGCACAGGTGTGTGCTTTTCACAATACCAGTGACCGTCACTAAGCACCAGGACATCGATGTTCCCTTTAGAAGTGGGCCTGAGGTTTCCTCCCCAGATGAGCACTGTGGGTTTGCACCCGTCTGTTCCCAAATGGAGGCTAAGGTTGCTTGCAGGAAAATGCGGAAGCTGGCTTGTGGGACAAATGAGAATGAGAAGGGAGGGAAGGAAGGCACCGGGACACAGACCCCAGCCAGAGAGTCAGGACCCCATCCCTGCTGGGCTCTGAATGGGGATGGAGTGGGGGGGCAGTGGAGGCACCCATAACAGACTGTTTCCTTTCAACTTTCTGTGAAGATAGGAAGTTGTAAACAAGCATCTGAGTTCAGAGCTGAATTGTACCAGTCTTGGACGTGACCATGTTCTATTTCCCCACATTTTAATGACAACTTTTCTCTTAAAACTATGAAGCACCACCCTTAGATCTAGCCCCACACTCCTGAACTCTGGAAGTTTCTCTTGAAGACACCCAGGTAGGGGACTCTCGCTAATGAGACTTATAGCCATTTCTTCTCTCCCGGCCCCACCTACCTTTATGGACATAAACATTGTGCACATTTGAGATGTATGACGTCATGATTAGATAGACATATATATTGCAAAGTAATTATCACCGTAAGCGTAATTAAAACATCCATGGCATCACATAATTACCAGTTTTTATAGTGAGAGCACTTTAGATCAACTCTCTTAGCAGCTTTCAAGGATACAACATGGCATTGGCTACAGTCACCATGCTGTGCATAGACCCCCCAGAACTCATTCATCTGAAAACTGGAAGTTTGTACCTTTTGGCCACTTTCACCCATTTTCCTCACCCCCCAGCCCCTGACAATCCCGAATCTACTCTGTTTCTAGAGGTATTTTAGATTCCACATCTAAGTGAGATGATACAGTAGTTGTCTTTATCTACGACCTTTTTCACTTAGCTCACTGCTCTCAAAATTCATGCATGTTGTTACAAATGTCAGGATTTCCTTCTTTTTTTTGGCTGAATAATATTCTGTTGTGTGTATATACCACTTTTTTTTATCCATTCATCCATCAACTGATGGGTTGTTGCCATGTCTTATCTATTGTCAATAATGCTGGGATGAACATGAGGGTGTAGATATCTCTTCAAGACAGTGATATCACTTCCTTCAGATATGTATCCAGAAGTGGGATTGCTCGGTCATAGGGTAGTTCTGTTTTTAACTTTCTGAGGACCCTCCATGCTGTTTCCACAGTGGCTGTGGCGGCTTGCATTCCCATTGGTGCACAAGGGTTCCCCTTCCTCCTCATCCTCTCCAACACCTGTCGTCTCTTGTCTTGTGGATGAGAGCCATTCTGACAGGGGTGAGGCTGTCGTCGGGCCAGCAGTGGGCTGTGTGGTTAGCCGATTTGCTTCCAGATCTTGGGCGAGTGTGGATCCTGTCCAGTCCGTGGGTGAACGGGACTGCCCCAGGCGCCACTTGTCCAGAAGGGCGGCTCTGGAACAAGGCTCCACAGTTGGGTCCTCAAACAGCGAATAGGCCATTTCTGTGATTTGTTCTTTCTTTAAAATTTTTGCCTGTGATCACAGAAGAAAAAATACTCCATCGACGCACATGCATGCACAGCCTTGACTGTGTAGTCATTATACCGTTTGAAATGGGAGAAAGGGTAGGATGGTGTTCTCTTTAATTTTTTAATGTATTAGACAAGTAACCATGTCTTTGCTTTTAGGTCTGGCGAGGTTTCCATCAAAGTAAGAAAACCGAGAAACAGAGAGAGGAGGAGATGATATTCCTGGGTATGGTAAGTCCTCTTGCAGACAGGATATGCATGTGGGTTTCCTAAGACTCGTGTCTCCCTTAGAGAGTTTTTGTGCAAAGAGAGGAGAGAAAAATAAATGACCAGTGACTTAAAAGAATGGAATTGCCTGTCCTGTACAGAAGTGTGCCCCGGGGTGAGGGCCACACAGAGCGGGCGCGTGTCCGTTTACACATCTCTGTTAGAGTACGTGGGCCGCCCCAGAAGTGGAAACAAGCTACGAGTTGCTCACAGTATACCGTTCCCTCGTGATGTCTGCTCTGTCCCCTGGTAGCGTTTGTGGTCAAGAGAATGGGTTTGCTCCAAGATAGCTGGCTGTTTTCGGGTGATCTCCACAGTGAGCACTGAATCAGAGTTGAAAGGGTACGTATTAGGTGTCCGTTGCCGTGTGACAACATTACCACAATTTAGCAGCTTGCTCACACACTCATCACGTGTTCTGTGGGTCAGCGGTCTGGGCTTAGCTGAGTCGTCTGCTCTCGGGATCTCGCAAGGCCGAGGGCCGGGTGTCATCGGAGGCCCAGCGGGGGTAAAATCCACTTCCAGGCTCATGTGCTTGTTGGCAGGACTTAGTTCCTCGTGGGCTGCAGACCGAAAGCCTATTTTATTTTGTTTGCTGGAGGTGGCCCCCAGCTCCGCATCGGGTGGGCCTTTCCATGTGGCCACTTGCTTCATCAGAGCTGGCAAGGGAGAGGGGGAATGCCTACAACCTCATGCAATGACCACTGAAGTGGAGTGTGTCACCCTTGCCCTGTTCAGATCGGTTAGAAGCAAGCATGGTGCACACCAGGAGGTGGGGATCTTTGGGAACCATCTTAGAGTCTCCATCTGTCCAAGGAGTTTTCTGCATTGTCTGCACCATCAAGCCAAAGGCCTCTGAGGAGGTCTTGCTTGTCCTCTGCCTGAGCGCCTCCTGAACGTAGAGCCCCTGCTTCCCAGGGCTGCCCATTCTGTTCCGTTTTAGAAGCTTCTTCCTTTCATTACCTGAAGCCTGCCCACCTATAGGTCCCGCAGCCTGGCTGTGGTTCTGTCCCCCGTGGCAACTCAGAATGTGTATGCTTCCCCATCGCCTGATGAGCCTTCAAGGATTTGAAGACAGCTCTTGAGCCCCCTGTGCCAACTCTTCTCAGAGCCAATTACCACCACCGATGGTGACCATTCTGGGAGCCTTGCTTCCTGACTGGCTCACTTTCTCTAAAAAGACATTACAATTTAAAGGAAAAGCAAGCCTGTTACCACATTGACTGGTGCGTTGGAATGATCTACATCATTCGGGGCTCCATGTTTAACGCCAGGATAAAAACATCACACGATAACGTTGATAGACACAGTGACCGAGTCTTTGAAAATGCTGATCAGGAACCAAACTCTGGTGAGGCTAAAAGAAGAAAAGAAAACACATATATGCTGTATATAACCACAGACACCAATACGTTAAAAAAAAAAAAAAAAAAACCTATTAGTATCATGAGTGACTAAGGTCACAAATTAGAAAATACTGAACAGAGAAGATTATCTAGGGAAGTCTGAATATCAAAGCAGACCTAAGAGGTAAAATACCTCAATAAACCAGTCACTGCAGCGATTGCTGGAAATGTTTTCCAAGCACCGGGGTTCGTTTGGGTCCTGTGAGAGGTAGGGGCCAGGATGGAGTTGGACACGCAGGTCATTTACTGGGAGGAAGGGAAGGAGGGGCGGAGAGGCCGGGGGAGCTCCACCGGGAGGCAGGGGTGACGAGGCAGGGGCGAGGCAGAGGGATGGGGAAGGAAGAGCCAGCACGATACCACACTTCCAAAACAGAGGCCGACACCATCTTTATAAATCTATGCTGATAAAAGAAAAGAGAACCAGGAATGGGGATGCCAGGTCTGGGCAAGGACCCAGGGACCAGGGTAGCGCGGGGACCACTCGCGGGAGTTTAAGTGAGCGCCCACCCGCCTGAGGAGAGTTCGTCTCATCACACACGTTAAACCCCTTATGCCTGTTTGCTCAGAAATCCCAACCCTTTGCAACTTCTTTGCTGAAAAAAAAAGAAGGAAGTGAACAAAATTTACAATATATAAATATTCATATCAGGGTAGTTTTATAATTGTAGATTGATGCCCAGTTAAAACACCCCATTGTATATCTTCAGAAGTGATGTTTAGAGTTTCTCTGTATGGTCCAAAATGTAAAGTATGAACATGTGATTCTATTTTTATACTTTTACTTATTCTTGCATTTTCCTATGATCAACGTGTATTTTATGTCTAAAAAATTAAATAAAATACATGTTCAAAATTTTATCAGAGGGGAAAAAGATAGGAATCATGGTTTAAACAATTTGTAGCTTTTTTAACTGAAACTTCATGTAAGAGACGCTGAGCTCTAGGAAACAAACTGAGGGTTGCTGGAGGGGAGGTGGGTGGGAAGGTGGGGTCACTGTGTGATGGGCATTAAGGAGGGCACTTGATGGAATGAGCACTGGGTGTTACATGCAGCTGATGAATCACTAAATTCTCCCCCTGAAACTAATACAAAAAGAAACTTTAAAATTAAATAATATCAATTCAAAATACCTTTTCCCAATTCTGTGTACTTCTTATCAAATGTGTATCTCAATAGGACAAAAATCAGGGTTTAAGATTTTTCCTTTCTTTCTATTTATAACAGTTAATACACTCAGAGAATACTGTAAGAAGTGAAAAAAAGTAATGTAATTTATACTTTTTTAACCAGTGTAAGGATGTAGTTTTCATTATATTACTCTTTTATTTCTTTTTGTAAGTTATATTTGCTAATACTGCACTTCATCTTCTCACTTTTAGAGAAATCAAGGGGTCTCCAGTGTGTGGTTGATCCAAGAGCACGGAGGCAGTCAGCTCCGTCGTTCTGTGATCAGTCATAAACATGTCCCTTGAAACTGTGGTTTCCCATCAGGTCTTCTTGTATAAAAATATTAGATGTTCTTTTCTGAGATTTTAGGATTTAAAAACATTAAAGGATCTTATTGGTGATATTGTTAAATATAGAAAAAATGTAATTCAGTCCCACATTCAGGATATTGCTGTGTCACTGTCACCAATTTGATGATGGCACATTCTGAATAACAAATGGTGTGGCGAATACACCTGGTCTTGGAATGTCTTGTATCTCCCTTCGGCCCCGCATCCTGGACCACTCCGCCCACAGCTGTGACCTCCAGGACTACCTCTGTTGTCAGCACAGAATTTAAAATGTGAATTATTTTGCTTGAGAAAGGAATTCAGCTCCATGTTCCAGACACTTGGAAGAGCATAGTCCCCCGGTGAAGGGCCATGGGACCGCTGCATGTGTTTATAAAGTCTCAGTTGTGACGGCCCACCTTTATTGGTCACAAAAATATGGTAAATCATACCTGAGTATGCCTATATGGTTTAAGAAACACCTTGATCTTGATCACCTACATTCTTGATTTCCCTTTGATCTTTGATAAAAGATAAGTCAACATTTATTTTGGGGATTGAGACCCTCACGGACTGCAGCCCGTCCTGTACTGTGCGGTTGTTGGGGCACGCTGTGAGAGCCACGTGGGCAAGTGGTCTCTTCCACTATCGCAGATTATAAATATATCTATATATTAAGTAGGCTCCAAGCCCAGTGCAGAGCCTAAGGCAGGGCTGGAACTCATGACCCTGAGATCAAGACCTGAGCTGAAATTAAGAGTCAGACACTTAACCAACTGAGCCACCAGGCGCCCCGGAGATTTTTATGGTTTAACACATTTGCTGGGTGGCATACTATCTAGTCATAAAAAGAAGGAAATCCTGGGGCACCTGGGTGGCTCCATCAGTTAAGAGTCTACCTTCGGGGCGCCTGGGTGGCTCAGTCGTTAAAGCGTCTGCCTTCAGCTCAGGTCATGATCCTGGGGTCCTGGGATCGAGCCCCACATCGGGCTTCCTGCTCTGCGGGGAGCCTGCTTCTCGCTCTCCCACTCCCCCTGCTTGTGTTCCTGCTCTCGCTATCTCTCTCTCTGTCAAATAAATAAATAAAATCTTCAAAAAAAAAAAAAAAGAGTCTACCTTCGGCTCAGGTCATGATTCTGGGGTCTTGACATCGGGCTCCCTGCTCAACGGGGAGTCTGCTTCTCCCTCTCCTTCTGCTCCTCCTCCTGCTTCTGCTCTCTCTCTCTCTGCCAAATAAGTAAAATCTTTAAAAAAAAGAAGAAGGAAATCCTGTCGCATGCTTTAGCATGGGCAAACCTGAGGACATTATGTTAAGTAAAATAAGCAGTCACAAAAAGATAACTACCATGTGATTGCACTTATCTGAGGCACCCAGATTCGTCAAACTCAGAGAAACAGAATAGAACAGTGGCTGCCAGGGCCTGAGGGAGGGGGAGAGGGCAGATGTTGCCCAGTGGGCATGGAGTTTCGGTTTTACGAAATTAAAAGTTCTATAGATCTGTTTCACAACAATGTGAATATCCTTAACACTACAGAACTGTATCTTCAAAAATGACCAAGGTGATAAATTTTGTTACGGCTTTTTTACCACGCTTATATATTTTTTTTTTTTTAATTCACCAGGACATTGAAATGTATACTGAAGTGGTTCTATAAGAATCATGAATATTCGCTAGTGGTCAAAAAATACAAATTAAAAATTAAAGGAGATACTGTGTTTCCTTGAATCCTGATGTCATCGATTATAAGATGCATCGCGATTTTTACAAGATACTGTCAAATAAGCCAAAACACAACCTAGATTGTAAGACACATCCATCCCTATTTTCAGATACATTAAACTAAGAAAACTATGCATCTTAGAATTGGTGAGAATAGGGTAAGTTCTTTCTATCTTATAAGCAAACAAAAAAAGTTTTTTCAAGTTGTGATTATTGACAAGAGTGAGAGGAGATGCTGTTTCTCCTACATGAGTTACATCAACTCGGCCTTTCTAAAAGACCGTGAACAACGTGCCCCAAGTTCGTTAACATATTTAAATCTCTTCGCCCCCACGCTCTA